TCGGACTCGAGGGGCACCCCGATGGGGTGTGAGAGAGTCAGAGTCAGAGCAAGCAGAGGGCCACGTGGAGGACGAGCGAGGCGGCTGCCAAGGGCTGCCAGAGCGGCCAAACAAACTTCAGAATCCGCAGGATATCGGCCATGGAGCATGATCTTGAGTCGTTGTTGCTGTCTCTCTCGCTCCGGGACGCCCCATGAGTGCGAGAGAGACAGAGCGACGCGAGAGCCGAGTTTGGAGCAGCCTGCAGGCTCTCTTGGCTGGGCTGGCCGCCCGGCATGGCGCCTGGAAGGACGGTCATGTCTCGTTTTGCAGTGCAGGCGAGCTTGTGTCGGACCCGAAACGGCGTACGATGGTCTAGCCCGTAATTGTAATGGTAATGGAGGGTAGGCAGTCTAGGAGACAGTCTTGTCGTTACGGCGCGGCCTACACTGAAAATAGAAAGGTCAGACTTCTGACCAACACCAAGACTAGTCTTACTGAAAAGACCGAGGGGGTAAACACTTCAAGAAATTGTGTACAGACTACTCGGTATTACGCTGTATTACGGGTGTATTACACGTGTATTACGGCCCTAAAATGCCCAAATTTGGCACATTTGACCCAAAAATGGTATTACGATCACGTGTATTACGCGTAATACACGGTTTTTGTGTACAGGGTATTACGCGTGTGGTTACCCCCTCGGAAAAGACCGAAAAAGGGTCATACTTCGATGTATGACCGAAAAACGGTCATACTTTTACCACAGGAGGCTGATATATCCCCAAGCTAAACAATAGCCAGTCTCGCTGATGTCTCTGACCTTTTTTTGGTCATACATTTAAGTATGACCGTTTTTTCGGTCATACATTTCATTTGTGTATGACCGTTTTTCCGTCATACGTACTTTTTGTATCACCGAAAATCGGTCAGATGTCTCACCCTTCGAATTTCAGTGTACCCAAAGAACCCGAGGGTGCTCACCACAATGCTATTGCCGTTGACGGCGTTCGCGTGGGCCACCCAACAATACATCTTTCGCAATTTCGCTCCGAACAACAAAAACAGCAATGTTATGCACGCTGAAAGCCGGCGGCGGCAGTGAAACCATAAACGCCTCGACGATGCCGGCGTCAGCGTTGGGCAACGCGGCCGACATCCCGACTCACATGACGATGACGCCGGCATGGCGTTCGGTCCGGAAGTCTTTCCGACTTTTCCGCGCCGTCTCACTTTGACACCTCGGCCCCCACTGTTAAACTAAGTGCGGAGAACTTCCACACTTCCTGGTGAGGAGTATTCTCCGCACTCGGACGTGTGGAGTTTGTAGTCTCCACACTCCTTGTGCGGAGTAGCTCACAGAGCCCCTATCTCTTTGCTGCAAACGTCTAAGTGTGGAGACTGAAAATTCCACACCTCTGAATTTCAAGTGAGCAGTTCTCCACACTTGGTTTCACAGTGTTGGCCCGAGGTGGCCCGGCCTTTGGCCCACGAGGGCCGCTGGTAAGGGCCCAGCGCAGACCGCCTCGTCGCTCTCTCTCTCTCTCTCTCTCTCTCTCTCTCTCTCTCTCTCTCTCTCTCTCTCTCTCTCTCTCTCTCTCTCTCTCACGCACTGCACCAGGCAGGCGGGTGACGGAGACAGAGCAAAGTTCTAAACAGTTCATCGGAGTCAGCCCGCTGGGCCGCCGAATGGGCGAGTGGCGCCGAAAGGGGGCGTCTAATAAATGCGCAGGTGGGCAGTGCACCTGCAGGGCTTCCAAGGCAGGCCGCGGTGACTTCCTCTGAGGGCGGTTGGAGAATCCGGCCCGCCCCTGCACTGTAAAGGGCGTATCTTCGCACAGTGTACGCTCGGAGATTCCTCCCACATTTGTCAAACCTGTTGCACTGAAAACTTAAGTGTGCACTGAGTACACACATAGGGCACTACAGTGTGTACTGAGTACACAATCAAGTATTCAGTGGCGGGCGTGGCATGCCGTCCCACAGTGGGCCAGAAGACCGGTGGAGGCGGCCAAAATTCTAGAGGCGTTTTTAGCTCCAGAGTCGCGAAATGACTCGAGCCGAACGTGTGACCCTACCGATGGATTGCTCTCCGAACGAGGAATCCATTGGTGGGGTCACACGTTCGACTCTGGAGTTCAAAACGCCTTTAGAATTTTGGCCACCTCCACCGGTCTTCTGGCCTACTGTGCTGCACTGTGCGGCCCCCACGAGCACCAAAACCACTTTTCTCGACTTTACCACTGTGGGGAAATTTCCCGACGATATCCCGTGCCCCTTTATCCGGAGGCATTTTCTGCAGTTCCGTCAGTCAGACTTTTAAAAATTTAAGCAGTGTGGGAACGGAGAGGAACGGAGCGAGCAGCGGAGCCTTTCCCCTCTCTCATTGAGATATCGCGTCGCGACCCCAATCTGTCCACCGAAGCGTATTATGTTTTTTTTTAAATTTCTTTATTTTTAGCCATTTAATTGCAGTCACGTGCGTCGGGGCGTTGGCGGGGCTATCGCTGGTGTCAGAGAGGGGAAGGGAAAGGGGGGGGGGGGTCGCTCTCCCGCGGCAAGGTAGGCAAAAAGTCGCACTTTGCCCCTGCAGATCCACTGTGAAAACAAGTGTGGAGAACTCCACACTTGATATCGCTTTGATGCCTAAGGTGAGGAATTTTCAGTCCCCGCACTTGGAAGCGCAGAGATTGCAGCATCCACACTTCAAGTGTGAAGTTTTCCACGTTTGCAACCGTAGCAAGATAGGGGCTCTGTGAGCTGCTGCTCCACACTTGCACACTTGATGTGTGGAGCCTGTTAAATTAAATCAACACGTCCAAGTGTGGAGAATTACTCCGCATCAGGAAGTGTGGAGTCTCCACACTTGGTTGGACAGTACACTGTGAGATCATGGCAAAAAAAAAAATAACCAGGATCCACTGTGATTTTTTCGCACAGTGTACACCCTTACTGGCGCCATCCTCTGGGATAGTCGCACTATCCCGATCCAACTCGGTATCGCTCGCGACCCACTGCCTCGACTGGCGACGGTTATTCGCAAGTTTCGCCGCACCGCCGCGGTGCGATGAGTGTTTTCGATGCAGAGAGCACTTGTCTCTCGAGTGGCAAAACAAGGGGGAAAACATTCGGGCCAGCAGTGCGGCAGCAAGACTGATTCCGAGAGTCGTTTTCGTTCGCTCTGTCCCTTTCGCTTCCATAGAGCGTTCGTGATAGGTGCGGTAGAGACAGAGCGACGAAACGATTCTCGGAATCAGTCTGCAGGGAGTCAATCGCGGATTCCCCCCCCTCCCCGGTGCGGATGCAAGAGGGGGGGGGGGGATTCGTTCTGCCCTTGAAGGCAGCCAAGCCGCCTGAAAGGCAGGGACAAGTCCGGGGGTGCCAAACTGGATCAGTGAAATGACAAAACGCAATGATTTCATGGTGGCCTTAACGCACCGGTGTTTCGGGGTGTGAGTGTTAAAATTTTTCGATGATTTGCCGTGGTGACCCTGCCGAATTTGTTTTTGGTTTTTCGGATTGCTATTTCACGTGACCTACGTGATTTCCGAAATGTCCTCCTCGACGCTTTCCCCGAGGAAGTCTTTTGCGCTCGGGTGCTAGTTGTCCTGAGTCTAAAATGGAGGGCGCAAGAGGCATAACAGGAGAGAGAGAGGGTTCGTGACATGTCAAGGGGTGATATAGAGTGTCTGTGACGACTGTTAGAAATTTTCGTCACTTTCGGTCATGTTTTGCCTTTTTAACAAGGGGTGCCGATAACTGTCATAAAGGGTGCCGATAACTGTATTTTGGCTGCCGATTACTGTGTTTTTGGTAACCTTTTTCTCACGTTAAATAAGAGCGTCACAAATTTTTTTTAGTGAAATCTTTGTCAGCCACTTCGTTGTCTAGATCCTTCTGAGGTGTCTGGAACAAGTCGCATGGGTCTAAGTGTCATAACCTACCCCAGAGGCCCTTGAAAAGAAAGCGATGCTCTTAAACTGACGGTAACTGTATAGTTTACCCTACTCCCCATCAGGAAGTGTGGAGTCTCCACACTTGGTTGGGCAGTATACTGTGAGATCATGGCAAAAAAATAACCAGGATCCACTGTGATTTCTTCGCACAGTGTACACCCTTACTGGCGCCATCTTCTGGGATAGGCGCACTCCCGATCCAACTCGGTATCGCTCGCGACCCACTGCCTCGACTGGCGACGGTTATTCGCCAGTTTTGCCGCACCGCCGCGGTGCGATAAGTGTTTTCGATGCAGAGAGCACTTGTCTCTCGAGTGGCAAAACAAGGGGGAAAACATTCGGGCCAGCAGTGCGGCAGCAAGACTCATTCCGAGAGTCGTTTTCGTTCGCTCTGTCGTCCCTTTCGCTCTCATAAAGCGTTCCGTATGGGTGCGGTAGAGACAGAGCGACGAAAACGATTCTCGGAATCAGTCTGCAGGGAGTCAATCGCGGATTCCCCCCCCCCCTGTGCGGATGCAGGGGGGGGGGAATTCGTTCTGCCCATGAAGGCAGCCAAGCCGCCTGAAAGGCAGGCAACAAGTCTCTCTTTGCCCCTGAAGGGAAGTAACTTTTGCGACATCGGGAACCCGTGTTGGATCGACCCTTGCCCTCACCTATCCCCTCGCATGCCCCAGGTGCCCCCGCCCAGTCGCAGCAGCTATCGATTCATCAATTCATTACGTCGGACATGGCCGATTGCGAACAGCCGTCATAATTAATGAAACGATGTCACGTGCCGTCCTGCATCCAATTAATCGCCGCAGGTGGCAACGCAGGGTAGGGGCAACGTCACAGGGCACGCTTTTTCAACCCGAATGTAATCCGTGTAATCCGTCTGAGCCACAGCTCCATCCATTACACCTACAGACATCGGAACGAAAATAGACACTTCTGCTTCTTCCCCGGGTGTTCTTTCTGACTTCAACATGAAGTAGTACACGATGCATCTTCTTTGCATTCCCTTCTCTTAGTCCTCAAAATATTCTCATATTCAACGGCTAGATGTCTCATACTCCTCCTCCCCCTTCCCCTCCCCTTTCGCAGGAATGAAAACAAAGCTGAGTTCATCGTCTGCTGGCGGTCTCTCGTCTCATCGCTTATCAGTGGCCACTTCGGCTTTGCAAATTTACCGCGAAGTAGTTATTTCTACCCAAAGCCTCGGTAAAAAACTAGCCATGTATACGACACCGAAATTCAATATTGCCATTGCTTTGGTTATGTTCCTCGCTCTATTCTCAAAGTCGGTATTGTCTTCAGCAGACGACAACGAAGTCGAAGTCGCCGTGGCGAACAACCGACCGATCGTGGGTATGTTGTGCATGTGCATGTCTCCCAAAATTATTTCATCCAACCCTCAGTGTCAATCATCCTTTTTTAATCAAACTTGACACATTGTAAAATTTTAAATGCACCAGCTCCTCTGTACTTATACCACACACTGCTAAATATTTGTCACAGGAATCCTCTCCCAAGAAATTCAAAACACAAGTACCGTGCAGAAACAATACAAGAGCTTCATATCTGCTTCGTACGTCAAGTTCCTGGAAGGAGCAGGTGCTCGAGTAGTTCCGATTTGGTAAGCTCCAAGGCCTCGCTCTGTTCTACCTGCTCAAAAACAATCGTATTAAAATATTTACTCTTTCTTTCCAGGATTAACCGGACAAGGCCTTACTATGAGTACATAACAAGCCACATAAACGGGTTAGAACAAGTGTTGAAAGTCATGTCATGAAAGTCGACCTTTTATTTATTAATCTATGTTAATTTTGAAATTTCATTTTCAGAGTTCTGTTTCCAGGAGGAAGCTCAGACTTCAATGCTAAAAATGGTTATGCAGATGCAGGAGCTATAATTTACGACATAGCTAAAAAATTGAATGCCAAAGGAGATTACTTTCCGTTGTGGGGAACATGTCTGGGTTTAGAACTTCTAGCATACTTGGGAGCAAACAAAACAAACCCGTTGACACTTTGCCAATCCGGAAATGTGAACTTAAATTTGGACCTTCTTTCTGGTGAGAAAAGATAATAAGGTTTTCTTAAAATTAACAACATATATTTTTTTAATCTCTTGGAGAAATGCCATACAGACCCTATCATTTGTACAAATTTCTGTTTCTTAAATTAGAAAAGCGACATTTGTTGTTTCAGGCTACAATAGAAGTAAACTATTTGGGTCTGCTTCTAAAGAAATAATTAATATCTTATCAAATGAAAAAGTTTTAATTAACTTTCACCGCTACTGCTTGACCCAAGAGGTAAGGAGTTGACAACAAACGCCAACATCTTCTTTTATTTGTGCCTTCATTGTAAGTTTACAATCACCCTAGACAAAATTAGAATTTAATTCATGGTTAATATTGCAGAATGTGACACAGTTCATGGGTGACATTAATTGGAGAATAATGAGTACAAATAAAGATTCCAACGGTCTAAAGTTTGTGTCGACAATAGAGTCTAGGAACTTCCCAGCCTATGGCGTACAATTCCATCCAGAGAAGAGCATCTTTGAATGGAATCCTGTCCAAAAGACAGCACATAGTTCTAATGCTGTGAAGGCAGCTCAGTATTTTGCAAACTTTTTTGTAAACGAAGGTGAGTTATCTGCACATAGTTGGGGTACCGTTCATTACTCAGGTTTTAAACAAATATTTCTCAACTTGGCTTTCTAGCTCGCAAAAGTACACATGCATTCCCGTCCATAGCAGAAGAAACAAAAGCCCTGATCTACAATTTTTCACCTCAGTACAAAGGCAGAGAGAAGAATTACTTTAATGAGCAAATGTACTACTTTGAATGGTAATTCACAATTCAGAAATGAATTAATTAGTTGATGTATGAAATTTATTTTCTGTTCCCAGTGAAACCTGTGATACCTTTTAAATATTTTTCATTTGAGTGCTGATTTTTATACAAATCGTTGCACAGACTGAATAAAATTGTATGAGTTTTACACGCTTCAAATTGTAACTGTTATTATTTATAGTTTGTAGTGCAAGGAAATCGTTAGTAAGTTATGGAGTATTTTCTTTTGATAGCTTATGTACACTCAAAATATTTTGTCACAATAAGCTTTTCTTTGAAAGGCATAAAATAATTTGGGCTATTTCTAGTCAAGGAAATACGCACTTCACAAGTCCACATTTCGCAGATAGTGTGAGGGGTGAGGCGGGGAACTCCCTCGCCCCTGGCCCTATCTGAGAAGTGTGAATTGCGAAGAGTGAATTTCCATAACTTGATGTAGCCTTTTCAAGTCGAGAGTGCAGTGCAAACCACCACATGTCGCCACCCGGCGGAATCAATCGACGTGTCTGGGAGCGTCCGGATTAACACGCAGCCGTGAGATTAGGGCTAATCTGTCGATGCATACAGGCGATACAGAAAAGTCTCTGTCGCACTCATGGGGCCCTCCGTAAGGGTGGGAGAGAGACAGAGCGACGAACCGCTCTTTCTGAATCGCTCGGCCTGCCGTGCCTCTGGCTGATTCCGAGAGTCGTTTTCGTCGCTTTGCCTCTCTCGCACCCGTGCGCGACGCCCTTATGAGTGCGAGAGAGACAGAGCGACGGAAACGACCCTCGGGATCAGCCCGCAGCGTGCACACTGTGACGCCAGAGGGAAGCCAGCGGCAGCCCGAGCGATAGGCAGCCAGTCGCGCACAGCTGTGCGATGGGTGGCCGAGGCGCACGGCGGCGTGCGTCACAGTTACAGTGTCGTTGACGCAAGGGGCACGCCAACCTCCGCGGCGGGACCGGCGGCGGCGCCTGCAGACTGATTCCGAGAGTCGTTTTCGTCGCTCTGTTTCTCTCGCACTCATGGGGGCGTCCCGTATGGGTGCGAGAGAGACAGAGCGACGAAAACGGCTCTCGGAATCGGTCTGCTGTCGGGGCTGACTCCGAACAGTGATCACCCGTCGCTCTGTCTCTCTCGCACTCGTGGGACGCGCGGTCCATCCGTGGTGGTGAGAGAGAGACAGAGCGAGGGTTCTGTTTGGAGTCCGCCTGGCGCCTGACGCATGCGGGATGCAAATCCGAGGCGTGGGCCGTCGGCCACTTCTCGGTTGACGATTCCGCGCGCCGCGCCTTTCTCTCTTTCTCTCCCTTCTTTCCCTCTTTCTCTCTCTTTCTCCCTCGCGGCCTTACGAAACGTGTAATTGTGTCAGGTCGGAAAAGGCTGCGACGGACCAGCGGCCACTTTTGCTTTCCGGATCCGGGGCAAGGCGGCAAGGCGTTGCGAGGCGAGTCGCGGCGGGATGGACGCCAGACGCCACTCCCACGCACAGCGCAGGGACTGTCGGACGGACGGACGGACGGACAGACAGACCGAGGGGGTAAACACTTGCGTAATACCCTGTACGAAAAAGCCGGGTATTACGCCGTAATACGCGTAATAGTAATACATTTTGGGACCAAAAGTATCAAAAAATGTCATTTTTCAATGAAATCGAGGCGTAATACATGCGTAATACAAGTGTAATACCCCGTAATAGGGAGTAGTCTGTACAAGGTTCACCGGAGTGTTTACCCCCTCGAGACAGACAGTCAAGCAGACAGACGGACAGATGGACAGACAGACACACGTACGGACGGACAGACAGACGGATGGACAGACAGACAGACAGACAGATTCAATTCAATTTGTATTTCTTGAGAAAAACTTTAACAAGGCACTTACAGATAGAAACATTAACATAGCAATCGTAAACTGGAAGACAGGCACACTGAGAATGAAAAAGTCATGATCAATACCCAATTTTGGGCGAGGTTTACTTTCTCACCCAAATTTGGGCGAGGAACGTTTCCTCGCCCAATTTGGGCGAGAAAAGGTTCCTCGCCCAATTTTGGGTGAGGAAGGGTGTATCAGCTCCCTATCTAGCTCCATAGTATTATGACCCAAATTTGGGTGAGGAAACTTTCCTCACTCAAATTTGGGCGAGGAAAAGTTCCTCACCCAAATTTGGGTAATAAAGAATTCCTCACCCAAAATTTTAGTCATGATCATGACTCTTTCATTCTCAGTGCAGACAGACCGAGACAGACAGACAGACGGTTTACAGCAAACAAAAACCCAAGGCACCGCTACCAATCACTCACTACTACTATTTTCCGACTTTGAGAGTTGTAGCGGGGTGATTCCGTGCGTAGGGGCCGTTTTAGCCACCTAAGAAAGTCAAGTAATCAATCCTGCTTGTTCGGCCGGAATTTGGCCTAGATGGCATCAATTGAACCCCAGGAAGACACTCTGAGCGTGGGCGAGCTAAAAGTTGACTTTCGTTTCCTCCCCCTATAAAATATGAAGAAATTAACTGAAAATATGACGGAAATTACGCTTCACGGAAATTACAAACAGATGTTTCTGGCTCACTGCAACTGCATATCGCCACAGAAATATGCCATAAGTTTGGCACACTAGTTCGACGTCAAGACACATCTTTTCACGTGTAGGATGTCTTTCAAAACCCAATAGACGATGAGCGAGAGGGGCATACGGAAATTACACCAATTGTTACAACCCACCGATTTCACACACAACTTCCACTCGCACACTCAGCCCCCTCACTTTTTCACCACCGAAATTCGTTCATGTGGTAAACAGACCGTGCTGATTCTGAATACGGTGGTGGTTTTGAGCAGGAAGCACTCCTAGTAGTTTTTTTGGTGCTTACTTTGAAACCGCTAAGGTAAAAGTCGGAGTACGGTGGACATTTAGTACGCGTTCTGAAAGTACAGTTCCAATCAATATACGATCTTCAAATTCAAGCAAGATAGTCACTATTAGTTAAAGATTTGATGGGTGTGTGTGGAATTCGAAGATTTGAATGGAACGCAGGGTTATAGAGCCGCAAAGTTGGTGTAAGGTGCGAATGGACATGACGGAACTTACAAAATCGCCCCTTTTGGCCCCTCTCCCGCGTCACATGTTAGCTTTGAAAGTCCGTATCCAAAGGGAACAAGCTATTCTAGTGCCAAACAAGATTCTTAAGTGTATGAATGGACTGCACTCGAATAAGTTCGCTCTGGGGAGGGTGTGGACACGAAAACGCCCTCTACGCGCGGAATCACCCAGCGCCTGCGAGGTAGGCCACTGTATCGTCCTGCGACGCACCGCTGTGGAGACGCTGGCCTACCTCGCCCCTGTCGTCTTCACGGGGCTGAGGTACACTCTAAATGTTCTACAGTGAAGATTCTCCATATTATGGTGAAAATGTTCCATATTATGGTGGTGCAGCTGACTTCGTAACATACCATAGACAATTCACTGTACCTTATAGAGATTTTGACGAATTTCGTTGGTATTATGGAGAAAATCTCCACCATATTATGTTGGTGCAGCCTTTCACCGTAAGGCATTTACTGTGTAGGCCACCGTCTCCACAGCGGTGCGTCGCAGGACGATACAGTGGCCTACCTCGCAGGCGCTACGGGTGCATCAGTGACGAGCGTCTGCTAAAATTACGTGTCGTTTGACGATTCTAAACGTCTTGGGACTAAGCGTTCCCGTTTTTAGGACCAACCAGGGATGAAAGAACGAAGTTCCAAGATACGGTCATGACAGTATGATCCAAAACGGCCCTCCGCAGTGAGTCAATCTCGCCACCAGCCCGACGCTCAGTCAGACAGCCGCTTGCAGCGTTGCACCACACAGACACGCAGGGTCAGTAGGAGACATGTGGGAGACGAGGTGAAAAAGGGACAGTAGTTGTTTCCTCACCCTGAAAACCTTACAAACTATCTTAGGCCTTACAAAGAAAAGCAGCTACTTATAACATAGTATTTTGAGCATACATACGTAACATAACAAAGGAACATACATAACAAAGGAAATACTTCGTAACTTACAAGCTATTTCTTCGGATAACAAAGTAAATTAATTTGTACTATGTATGCTCAAAATACTTCGTAAGGTTTTAAGCGTGCTGGGCATGATCACATGACATTTAAGAACTCATGCCAAACCAATGCTATCATATCCACAATGAAAACATTCCACTTGGTATGGGATGGTAGGAAACGGTCCCAGCCAACTCTACATCCGATCCATTCCGAGGGAGACCATTTCGTCGCCCTGCTGTCGCAACGCTTCGAGGCGCCCCACGAGTGCAACGGTCCTCCGCCATCAATCGCTCACGCCGGGTGGTTATCCGCCGGGCGACTCAGGAGTCGCTTCATCGCTCTGTCTCTCTCGTACTCATGGGGCGTCCCGTATAGGTGTGAGAGAGACAGAGCGACGTAAACGACTCTCGGAGTCAGTCTGCTTGTGGTTATCCGCGCGGCCGTTTCCGGGGCTCGTGCTCTCCTTCGACGGCATCGGCTGTGTCCTGTCCGCCTCTGTGCTTTTGGCGCGGGGTGTCCGGATCCAGTTCCGAGAGGGAGAGACAGAGAGAGAGAGAGAGAGAGAGAGAGAGAGAGAGAGAGAGAGAGAGAGAGAGAGAGAGAGAGAGGAGAGAGAGAGACGCTGTGTCGTGTGCGGTGCGCCCGGCTGGCAAGTATTATCTCACCGCGGCGAAGTGGCGCGGCGGGGCGGCCGCGTGGGCGAGCCGGACTCGTGCTCTGCATGGCCAACAGATTGACTCCGAGAGTCCTTTTTCGTCGCTCTGTCTCTCTCGCACTCATGGGTCGTCCCGTACAGGTGCGAGAGAGACAGAGCGATGAAAAACGACTCTCGGAATCAGTCTGCACGACCAGCACGGTGCGGTGCGGTCGGGGCAGTGCCGCACAGCTTGAGCTTATTGGAGTCCGTGTTGCATGTCCGCTCCAGACACACGCCCCGCGGCGCGCGCTCGCACTCGCCGCGTGTGTTTTTCTTGGTTCGGCCCACCGGCGGTGCCGTCGCCACCCTGAGCACAGGCCCCGCCCCGCCGCGCCCCGCCCCGCCCCCCCCCCCCGCCCCGCCCCGCCCCGCCCCGCCCCCCCCGCCGCGCCCCGCCCCGCCTCGTCCCGCGGTATCGCGCTCGCACGATTGCGGCACGCCACTGTCGCGTCGATCGTCCCTCGACTCGCACTCCTCCATTGTCCGCCAACAAAGCGCCAGCCGGCTGCTTCCGAACAGTGTGCTCCATCCGCCGCTCTGTCTCCCTCGCACCCTGACGAGCCACTCCGTGAGTGCGAGAGAGACAGAGCGACGAACGTACAGCGTTCGGAAGCAGCCGGCGGCCGGCCCTGGGTCGGTATCATCGCATAACGGCGTGGCTGCGTGACGCGCAGGGCGGGGCGGGGCGAGGCGAGGCGGGGCGGGGCGGGGCGGCAGAAAGGGAACCGGTCGGGATGGGCAAGCCGGCAGGGCGGCCAGTGCGGTAACGGATGACGCGTCAAGGTCACATCGCCACCCTCGCGCCGCGTCATGCAGCGGAACTGATTCCGTGAGTCGGTTCCGTCGGCTCCGTCTCTCTTGCACCCGCACGGGACGCCTTCGTGAGTGCGAGAGAGGCAACACGTTTCTCGGAATCAGCCTGAAGCCCTTGCAGACGCCAGCACCGACACCGCAGCCAGCAGTCTCATCGCGCGAGTACTATTATGTCTATGGTACGAACAGTGCCCAACAGCTGTCTCTCTGGCACACCTCCAGGGCACCACATCAGATCACCGTAAAGCCATTCGTAAGTTTGCTTGCCACAAATTTGGCAAGCCGCGTTGAATGCCAAATTTTGGCAAGCTTTGGTCGGAAATGTTCACAAGTTTGCCGAATTTCTGCCAGCTAGGGAGTATTTCCGGGCGAAGCTGGCCAATTTTTGACATCCAAAACGGCTTGCCGAATTTGTGGCAAGTAAATTTACCACCGGCTTTGCAGTGATAAGTGCGACAGAGACAGAGCGAGCCGGCCGGCGCAGGGAATGACCACGCCAGTGCCGCGGCGCGCGTGCGTCATCTCCATTGTTATTGTAATCGTGCAGCAAGACTGATTCCGAGAGTCGTTTTCGTCGTTCTGTCTCTCTCGCACCTTTCCGGGAGGTCCCGTGAGTGCGAGAGAGACAGAAGAGCCACGAAAACGGCTTTCGGAATCAGACTGCCGCCGCGCCACGCGCTTCGAAAATCTAATAGACGCGAGCTCTCTCCTCCGGCCGTGGCCGCGGAGTGCCGCCTTTGGTTCGGAGGGCTCACGTCGACGCGTGAGGCTTTCGGGGACCTCTTTGTCGGCCCCCAAAGGGCCGGATCGTCGCCCTGTCTCTCTCGCACCTGTAGGAGACGCCCCATAGGAGCGAAAGAGACTGGGCGACGAAAACGCCTCTCGGAATCGTCCGCTGCATATTACACTTACCGAAGAGGATGAGCAGCACTCCGGTGTGTGAGTCAGCCGACGGGGCCGACCGCTGCAGCCCCCCCCCCCCCCCCTCTGCCCCGCGCGCTTCGCCGGCAAGACAACTTTCTCTTTCTTTCAGACACAACCTCAGTCAACCACACCGCGCCATACCGCCCGCCCCTGCGTCTTGAGGTCCCAGTGGAGTGGGCCCGCCTTTGGCCCGCCTCGGCTCGGCTCGCCCCACACTGGTAAAACTAAAGCGTAGCATTACCCACTGTTTTCAAGCGTAATCAGTTTACGCTTGAAATCAAGCGTAACAGGCTCATCCGCCAAGATTTCCCCTATCTAAATGCATGGGGGAATTTCTAGCCTATGCTTGATTTCAAGCGTAACGTCTTCAAGCGTAACTTTATGCTTGACTCAAGCATAGTGCTACGCTTTAGTTTTACCAGTGCACATCGCGGAAACGCGGAATCGGTCTCGGGGGTCAGAGAGTCCGAGAGAGAGAGAGAGAGAGAGAGAGAGAGAGAGAGAGAGAGAGAGAGAGAGAGAGAGAGAGAGAGAGAGAGAGAGAGAGACAGACAGACAGACAGACAGACAGACAGACAGACAGCGGGGACGCCAAACGCCTGTTGAGTCCTCGTAAAAATGATAGCCCGTTAAACGAATCGGACGCAACAAAACGCGGAGCCACGCTTAGGACGCAAGTCTCCTGCTGCAGTCTACAACCTTCTAGCACTGCCAAACCGAGTGAGGAAAACTCACATCCAGATGAAGCTCCGGCACCGTGTGCTTGTCGACCGGGGATAAGTTTCTAGTTAGGGGTTCAACTAGCAGCCTTGGGGTGGCTTCACGTCCATAACTTAGGCGGGTTGGGTCCTTAGGAGGACCATGCCCACGACTTCGCCGCTCCGCTGCATGCGTACGTGCGCGGGCTCAAGCTCAAAAGCACTTTGACACTGCCATGCGTCTCGACCCCAGCAGCGCTTGTGCGCAGTTTGGTGACACTTACGGACATCTCATAAGCTGAGGACGGACTTCAACGTTGTGATTCCCTTCGCTTTGCGTGATTAAATCCGAGGGGGCCACCACCCCCGTAATCCTGTGTACAAGTTTGCTGGTAATCTCTGGTAATCCATGGCGTAATCACGTAATCCTTGACAAAATTCTGTCATTTTTCAACGTTTTGAGTCATTTTCCAACGTTTTCGAGCTATTTTTCAACGTTTTCGAGCTATTTTTCAACGTTTTCGAACCAATTTTCGAAAATTTCACGCGTAATCCCTGGTAAATATCCCGTAATTCCGTAATCTTGTGTACGCCTGAAATGAGAGTGGTGGCCCCCTCGATTAAATCTTTGTGCCGATTTCTGAATCATTGTCCTTTCAGGAGTAAAGGGAAGCATGATGTGGAAACGGTGCACCTAATCTTACCTTGTTTCGGCTGTCTTGGACTTGGGTCAGAATCTTACATTCTTAAAAAAAAATGTGTGTTTTCAGAGTGTGTTTTTGGGAGGCGTGTTAGCACGGCACACCCGAATTTACAAAAATGTTACCTCATTATTAAAATAATTTCTAATTAGAGTGACCCAACTATTTCGCGAGTGCATACCCCCGCGAATTCGACACTGGTCATGCTATTTGGAAAGGACAGAAAAATGTGAATTTCTGCACAATTTTATGCAGAGAGTCACGCAGGTATAAAATCGTGCATCACGACGTACAAAATTCTACATAAACATGTAGTGTGTAATAAAATAATAACTAATTTTAGAGATATATGTCACATTATTATTCCCTCCTTTCACTCTGCGTGGATCTGATCATTTTCACCGGGCATATTCAGTGCAGGACAGTGGGCACAGAGGGCCAGAGGAACGGCGCCGGCAGCCAAAAAACTCAAGACGCGTTTTGAGCTCCAGAGTCCCTTGGGACTGGAACTGAACGAGTGACACCACCAATGAATTCCTTGTTAGGAGCGCAATCCATTGTTGGGGTTACAGGTTCGGTTTGAGTTTCACACTGCAAGAAAAAGTGTGGATAGTACAACAAAAGTGCAACAAAAACTGTACAATAAAAGTACGACAGGGATTGTAGAAAGTACAACGAGAATTGTACAAACGACAACGAGCCCTGGACTGCACAGCACTCGTCATGCCGGTTCCATTGTACTTTGTACAACAATTATTGTTGTACTTGAAAAGTACACTAAATTCCTGATAAAAAGTTTGCCAGGAAATTTGTGTACTTTTGTTGTGGTTATTTCCTGTAGTGCACTTAGCGACTCTTAGAACTCAAAACGCGTCCGGGATTTCGACCGCCTCCAGCGGTCTTCTGGCCCACTTGTGGTGTAGTGATCTTTAGGCTCAAGTGACACTCACCTCGGGGCACACATCTTTAAAATCTGCCACACTCTAAATGTTGTACAGTGAAGATTCTCCATATTATGGTGAGAATGTTCCATATTATGGTGGTGCAGCTGACTTCGTAACATACCATTGAGAATTCACTGTACCTTACACAGATATTTTGACAAATTTCGTTGGTATTATGGAGAAAATCTCCACCATAATATGTTGGTGCAGCCTTTCACCGTAAGACATTTACAGTGCAAGGCGGTGAGCAGGATTTCACTGCAATATTGCCGCACGCGGTGAAGTAAAAACAAGCCGCCGCCGCAGCGCCAAAATACGCGGGAGCAGTCGGTCCATGGCTGGAGGCACGCCTCGAGGCGCGCACGACCCGACGCGCCGGCCGGCGAGGCGCGGCGAGGCGCTCCAAGCGAGACCTTGAACCTGGCCTACTTGTTGTGCGGAGGGCTGCCGGGCCGAGGCGGACGTGAGGCGGGCCGCCGCGCCTTGTGGACGGGCTCGCCGACGACGCGCCGCCACGCCGCACAGTGCGCCAGAGGACCGGTCACCAGCATCATCGGTGGGGGCGGCCACAATCCCCACGGAAAAAAAGAATTTGTTGTGACAACGAAAATGTATGTTGATTTTGGGATAGCTAAAAAAAGTTGTTGGGCGTACTACCAATTTGTTGTCAGAACGAACATTTCGTTCTGACAACGAACTATATCGTCAGGAGTACTAAACACAATAAAAATGAATGTTTGTACTCCTAACGAATAATTTGTCGTGAGAGCAAAGTGTTCGTTCTCACAACAAATTTATAGTACGTCTAACAACTTTTTTTTTGCTATCCCAAAATCAACATACATTTTCGTTGTCACAACAAATTCTTTTTTTACGTGCCGGACGCGTTTTGAGCTCCCGAGTCGCTAAAAAGGTTTCGCGCCGATCGTGTTACCCCGCACTGAAAAACCAAACGTGGTCCAGACCGCACCACTGCACTGGTAAAACTAAAGCGTAACTCTATGCTTGAGTCAAGCATAAAGTTACGCTTGAAGACGTTACGCATGAAATGAAGCATACTCTAGAAATTCCCCCATGCATTTAGATAGGTGGAATCTTGGCGGTTGGGCCTGTTACGCTTGATTTCAAGCGTAACCTGATTACGCTTGAAAACAGAGGATAATACTACTCTTTAGTTTTGCCAGTGTGGTGTGGTCAGATGGGTGCCATTTTGATCGCATCAGTTGGTGTGGTCTAGACCGCGTTTGGCCACGTTTGGTGTGGTCTAGACCACGTTTGGCCACGTTTGGCCACGCTTGGTGCGGTGTAGACCACGTTTGGCCACGTTTGGTGCGGTCTAGACCACGTTTGGCCTAGGGATGTGCGTATAGTTCGGTATCGAATCGAATGGAATCACCCCCGATTCGATTCGATTCGGGGACGGCCGGATCTCTTTGCTTCGACCCCGAATATTCGAAATTTTCGAATCGACAGTGGTTCGTCTTCGAATCGGTTGCTCCGCAACCGTTGAATTTCGCGCGCATAGCGTTGTATTTATGCCAAAGCAAGATCAGATACTTAATTTTTACTTCTTTTTGTATTCCTCCCAAGGGAAAAAATCCCTATGATTTTAAATGGACGGTCCCTTTCCGAAGGGGCCAAGCCCCATCCGAGAAAGGGCTTGGCCCCTTGGGAAGGGCTCAGCCCTATCTGCCATAGGGCCGGGCCCTATCAAGTTAGGGACCGGCCCTATGGACTTGGGGACCGGCCCTTTGAGCTTAGGGATCAGCCCTATGGACTTGGGGATCCGCCCTCCAGACCACAAGGCCCTATAAATCAGCCTGCCAGTTAGGCAAAATGTGGGTGATTTAGGTAGGCAAACCCGCTACACACCTATTAAGGGTATCTTGTAAACGGCTTTAGATAGAGTGTCGGCGACACTACCATTGTTATCAGCTTCAAAAGTTTACTCAGGAAGCGTTCCTTATATTGTACATTGATGTTCAAGAGGCAGATGTTTTGAACACTTGAACACTCCGCGGCACGTCCCTTTCCAAAGGGATATTTCGCGGCCCTTTGACAAGGGGACTGTCCCTATCCATAGGGGCTGGCCCTTCCATGGGGACCGTCCCTATACCAAGGGGCCGCGAAATATCCCTTTGGTTAGGGACGTTAGGGATTTTTTCCCTTGGGCATGCTCTATGCCCTTACAGAAAATGTGTTTTGAAACTAACTAATCTTTTTCAGTTTCAGTTCGAATTCGATTCGATTCTGAATCTCTAAAAGTTTGATTCGATTCGACAACTTTTTCCAGATTCGATTCGAGTTCGATTCGAAACTTTTTCTTGAGATTCGATTCGATTCGATTCGAACTGAAAATCCTTGATTCGCACATCCCTAGGCCACGTTTGGTGCGGTCTAGACCACGTTTGTTGCGGTCTGGACCACGTTTGGCCACGTTTGGTGCGGTCTAGACCACGTTTGGCCACGTTTGGTGTGGTCTAGACGCCGCACCAAACATACCAAACGTGGTCTGGACCACACCAACACGGTAAAAACGGTTCCTGGTTTTCCCAGGAACTCCCTGGAAATTGCCCATGCCTTCACCATTGGCTTCCTGGGAAAACCAGTTTCCGTTTTCACCGTGAACTGATGTGGTCAAAATGGCACCTATTTGACCACACCAGTTGGTGCGGTCTAGACCACGTTTGGTTTTTCAGTGCACCAATGGCTTGCTCCCCGAAGGAGGAATCCCTCGATTTTGGTCTCCGAAAACAGTCAAATCAAGCGCAAATTACTGAGAGAACAGAGTCAGTTCGCCATGGATACACGGGCCATGCGTTGCCGCCAAGGCCGGACCAGGTTCGCCGAAAGTTTGCTCTTCCGGCTGAATGAGTGCGCGGGAAAGTTCGACTCGCGCCAGGCGGAAAAGGGACTAGGATCCCTAGACTACTCCAGGCCTATAACAGAAAAGCGCTTTCGTCGCTCTGTCTCTCTCGCAGTATCCATGAGTGCGAGAGAGACAGCGACGAAAGCGCTCCGACCTCCAAAGCGATCAAAGTTTCGATTACTCAGCCAGAGCAGAGCACTGTGTATGGAGTAAAGAGGGGGAGGGGGCAGCGTCCATTGACTCCGTGATTCGGTGGAACTCGGGCGGAGGTTTCAGGAGGCACGACAGACCGGCGGATCCAGACAAGAGACTAGCCCCTTGATCTAGAAGTGGGCTGCGCAGGCGGGCACAATGGCAATAATTGCAAACAATTGCCCTTGCAAGTGCCTGCTTCCAGCGACACTGCCCGATCAACGTTTTGCCTGTACGGTTCCACAGAGAGGAGGGGCGAACCCTTCGACACCAAGTCCCCCACCCCCTTTCCCTCCATTGCCTGGATCCGCGCTGGACGCGGCTCGCCTGCCCTTGGCCAGGGAAAAGCCCCATTGTCGCCGGGCCCACACTGTGGCCACTGCAGCCGTTGGGGCACTCCGCCGGTCCGGCCGCACGGCCTCGGCTGACCCTGGGCGTGGCGTGGCGTGGTGGAGCGGGGCGGGGCGGTGCGGTGGCTTAGGCCGCTGGGCCCCGGGGACTTTGAGGGTCGCGTGATGCGCACGCAGCGACTCAGCGCCGCTGGGCCGCCAGTTCCTGCTTCCGCGGGGACGCCCCACGCGGGCGGAGGAATGCTACGCGAAACACATGAGACGGACCTCGGTCCAAAAATTGACATACTGCACATGTACTTCCATGGGCCACAATAACCTTTGCTATGTTTGTGCATACACTCAGAATGTCGTATAAGGGAAGTTGCCAGAATTGGGGGTCCTTGTGGCTCAAAAAAAAAAAAAAAAAATTATTAAATGTCGTTTTAAATTTTGAAGCCACTATACCGTTGACTTGGGGACATCGCAGCATTTAAATAAGAGCCTAAATAATATTTGCATGTAGCAAAGCTTTTCCTGCGTGAAAATAATAAAACTGAACCTTGCAGACACGCTGCGTGAAAATAACTTCACTATTATATATTATACCTGTATTATAGGGCTGTGTACGAAGTATTATAGGAGTCAGCCCCCCTTGGAAAGGAGAAACAACGAAGTTGAAGAAAAGGAGGAAGAGCTAGGGAGAGCTAGCTGATGGCAAATTAACTATGAAGAGGGATAGACAAAGCTTCAGTCGTTGTACAAAAATTATTTCTCTAACGCAACCTTCCACCTTAAAATTCTGCTGTGGATCCCCCACATCTTTCAATCCTTAGTGGTTAAAATTTCCTTCATTTTCTACACTGTTAAAAATAATCGTAAATCTACGACATTTTGTAGAACAATTATGTCGTTTTTAAACGACATATTTTGTTACGACTCAAGTCGTAAATATACGACTTGAATCGTAAATTTACGACATATTTGTCGCTAATTTTGATAGCGACACGTTTCGTTTTATAACGAATTAAGTCGTAAATTTACGACTTAATCGTAAGTCTACGAACAATCGTAAATTGTCTTTCGCATATGTCGTTCAGTTATGACTTCAGTCGTACATTAACGACTCTTGTCGTAAATGTGTGATATGAATCGTAAATGAACGACACAAATCGTAAATAAGTGACCAAATTGTAACTTTTCACCAACTTTTCGGGGATTTCAGGTGTCAAAATATGTAATCGTGATTACGACATTGTCGCAGAGAAATGATTTTTTAGTCGTTCAGTTACGACGAAGTAGTTTAAGAACGATTTCCGTCGCTATGAAAATTAGCGACTTTTTTGTCGCTAATTTACGACAGAATTTCGAACAGTGTAGAGCTCATGCCAATGACAAATAATTTCCTGCCGATTTCCTTTAAAAAAAAATGAACTTATGACCAGCGCTGCGGTTACACATGCAATATACGTAATCAGAATTTTTGAGGTCAAGAGAACAAACAAATAAACTCCAACAACTTTTTTGCCTGCCATATTCCATGCTACCGGATGATTTACGATGCAATGATCTTAATCCATACAATAATATTTCAAATTAATTTAGTTAATACCCCTGCATGATCTGTAAACTGAATCAACTCCCATCACTCTTGGAGTGTCCTGTGTTAAACGAATTAATAAAAGGAACTTGTCGCTTGGCCTTGACTGTAAATTACACAAAGAGAATGGTTTTTGAAATAAAACTGGATACACCATTAACTAGGCCGCTGAACGAACTCCTGCATTTTAAGCACAATTCAAATTTCCCCTAACCCTTACTTTGTCTGTGATCTGATTTGCCTTCAAGGCAGATGTTTTTTTTTTTTAATTTCCTTGAAACCAGCTCGTCTCCTCTGAATTCAAACAGTACGCGCTTATCTGTGCCGGACCGCCCACATCCCACGGGCCAATCAGAGGCCTCTCTGGTGCTGTACTGTAGGAGGGTCCCCCAAAATGCAAGTCGCGGGGCAAGTACAAACCTCGAGGTGAGGGCTTGTAAGAGTGTGTCTCCAGGAGTGTAACTTACTTAGTTCTCACATTAGTTTTGTGTGCTCTTCTGATGCCGCTAGGAATGTGGTAGAGTAGGAGAATTAAAACAGCGTTTCAAAATGTATTCATGTTTATTCAAGATATGCCTGACGCGGTGACTTCGAAAACACGTCGCTCATAACTCGGGACTTCATCGACCTCCGTTTCCCAGAAGCCCCCCCAACCCCCTGCAAGCGGAAAAGACAATTTAATTTACAAATTGCAAAAAACGTTTTTAGTAGGAATTCAGTAGTGCGGGGTGCAATGAATGTCGTTGGTTAATCGACATGTTACGTAACGTCTTCTGTCATTCTCGCACTCACTGGCAGTCCGTAAGGAGTGAGAAGAGCAGAGCTCTAGAAAAGCGTTACGTAATAAGTGGACGTTTTGCTACGTACTTCTTCTTCAGGTCGGGGTGCAACACTGGCTTTGGGGCGAGGATCTTCGGCGCGGGGGCGGGCTTGGGCTTTGGTGGACTGCCAGAGGGGGAGCGCTTGGGCAGGTGGTGGGGCTTGTGGTTGGGTTCGGGGGGATGATGAGGGCCATGGGGAGAGCGCTTGTGCAGGGAGTGGGGCTTGTGGTTGGGTTCGGGGGGATGATGAGGGCCATGGGGAGAGCGCTTGTGCAGGTGGTTGGGCTTGGGGTTGGGTTTATGAGGCTCCCCTGCGGCTTGCTGGCAAATCTGGAACAAATTGGCGACACAAATAATTATCAATTTTTAGCAGATGATACCTTTACTCAAAACATACCTCAAACTACAACTAAAAGATACATAAAGGTGTCAGCTAGCTTTTACTCGAGAGTCCAAAAACCAAGTGCGTATCCTAACAATATAATAGGGGCTGTCTGCCGGGGCGGGCTGTGGCTTGCTGGCTGTGGCTGGCTGAATGCGGCGCAGCCTGCGGGGAATTCGACAATGGCACCCCCTCCTCGCGCGCGACGGCCTGCGCGCAACATTGACAATCCCTCCCCGATTCAGCCCAGAGGCACCGGGTGCTCGCAATCCAACGGGCACGGCGCGGCGGTGCAGGCCAGGGAACAAAAGACTCAGTTTAAACTGAGTTTTAACTGAATTTTAAATACTATATTTGGAATGAGCCCATACTATCCCGTAGAAGAAAAAACCAAACGAGTATCATCTGCTTTCATTAACGTTCGTTGAATGAGATTTTTGAATCTGAAAGCCTTTTTGGCCCGCCCTTCTATTCAAAAAATAGGGGGAGGGCCTATGCATTTGCCTTTGTGTCTGTGTGTTGTTGTTGTTGGTGTTGTTGTTGGTGTTGTTGTTGTTGTTGTTGTTGTTGTTGGCGTCTGTGTACAAGGAAGGAGTAGAGCTAGAGTAACCAGATTTGGAGGGTACTTCAGGAGTACCGTCCAAACAAATAATCCGGTGGTGCAAATCCCGTCCGGGTCGCACAAGGGCTGCTGCAGGTGCATCATGGTTTACATGAGCGGGAGGGGGATTTCCGCCATTATTGGTGCTAGCAGGGCACATAGGGGTATTTTTGGAATCGGGGCGACGAGACAAGATGAATGGACCTGCTCCCGACCCCATCGGCCGCTTTTACCGGTTGGCCAGATCAGGATCTTCAAAAATCGGGGTCGACCGACTAAAAAAAATTATTGCAGATTTCGATTGGTCTCAGCAAGACCTTTTCAACGAGGGGTCGGAAAGGGGGTCCAGGAGCCCGACTTCGTCTATTAGTCACATCAGGATCTTGAAAAAAGGGGGTCGACCGACTGAAAATTTTTACTTAAGTTTTCGATAGGTCTTGGCAAGACCTCTTCAACGAGGGGTCAGAAGGGGGGGCCAGGAGCCCGCCTTCATGAGTTATGGGAAAAAGCGCGACGGACTCGTTTTGAGCTCCTGCTGTGCCTCTATTGCAAGGAGTTGCAGTAGCATGGCAAATACGGGTATTTTCGGAATGAGGGCGAAGAGACAAATGAAATGGGCATATTCCATATTCCAAGGACAGTTGGAGTAAAAAGTGTAAGGACTATTGCATATTGTGAATAGAAGGGCGGGCCTAAGTCACGATGGTACATCGATAACTTTGCTTTACCCGCTCACGGTGTGTGTGATGCGAGCGGGCCGAAGGCCCGGGCCTTCGACTGGCCAAGTTGGGTCTGATGCGAGGGCCGAAGGCCCGAGAAAAGGCCGCCGGCAGGCCAAGCTGGGCCGGCCCCCTGTCGAACCGAGTTGCCGGCGCAGCGAAGCGGAGCTGGCAACTCGGTTCGACGTAAGGGCGGGCCCTAGTGGGCCCTAGCTTGTTATATTCCTACGAGCTGTGAGCTCTTCAAGCGTACACCCACAGAGGAGCAAAGGTACAAATGCTTCCACAGGTCGCGTTAAATGTGCTCGTTTGTGTTTACAAAAGAACACTGTCAAATGAGAACTCCACACACTAAATGTTTATGTAGAATTTTGTACGAGCCACTTGCACGATTTTGTGCATGCGGGGAATTTGCATTATATTGTGCGTGAAAATGCATAAATTTATGCAAATTCACGCACAATTTTATGCACGACGGCACACAAGTTTAAAATTATGCATCACCACGGACAAAATTGTACATAAACATTTAGTGTGCACACTTCCTGAAGCGGAGTCATTTTTCTCACTTCGACGTGTAGCGTTTGCAGTCTTCACTCTTCATGAGTGTTGTAGCTCACGGAGCCTCTTTCTCTTATGGCATGGTGCAAACGTGGAGAAGTCCACACTTGAAGTGTGGAGACTGCAAGCCGTGCTCGTTGTCCAAGAGGGGAGACTGCAATATCTACGACACTCCACATTTAGAGTGTGGAGGTCTCCCCAAAGGTTCTCTCAGTGAAGGAACTTCTGGTTTAGCCTTCGAATAAGGAGCATCCTTCATGATCCACTGAACTGCTGAATCGTGGCGAAGTAACATAAAAACTTCGCCCAATTGTGCATTGGCCGTTCAATCATGTGCAAGAGACGAACGCACGTCCTAGCACTGCACTAGCAAACCCAGTGTAGAGAACACTCCTCACTTCGCTGAAAAACCAAACGAGGTTTAGACCGCACCGCTAGTGCGGTCAAATGAATGCCATCTTGGTGCATCGGTTGCTTAGGTCTAGACCCAAGTCCGCGTTTGGTTTTTCAGTGTTCCTGGTGCAGAGTTATTCTTTACACTTGGACGGGTTTGTTCGCAGTCTCAGGAGGTGCTAAGGTGCAGAAAATGACCACAATGCTCTGCGCAGTCGGGAAGCGAGACGAGATTTCAACTTACAGCCAGCACAACGACGCCCAGGAACAAGGCGAGGACGGTGAGCTTCATGTTGGTGAATATGCTGTGCCTTGCGATGTCGAGGCTTGAATAGGGCCGTGCCCTTGAAAGCAGCGCACGGTTTTGTCATTTCTTTTAATGTGCTGAGCACGATCGTACGGGTGGTGCAATGCGCCGATGCTTCGGCACGAATAATCACACATTCATCGAAATGTAATACCCGAAATAATACCTTTAATACTCTACAACACCTAGAATGTATAACACTTCGTACACTTTTCAGGAGAGTCAGCCTCTTGTAGTAGTTCTCCGTAGCCCCCTTGTCAATATTCTCCGTAGGGCCTTACAGTATTGTCTGTAGGACCGTTCAGTCTTCTCCGTAGGACTACCGTCTTCCAGACCCTACTGGGAAGGCTGTACGGTCGCACGGAGAATACTGTATGGTCCTACGGAGAAGACTATAAGATCACCCGAAGAATATTGTTAAGAGGGCTACGGAGAATCCTGGCAAAAAAATACAGATTTTTCCCTACGTTTTTGGCAGTGTTGCCCAACCAGATAAAACTGAGCTGAACAGAGCTTGTTGCACGGATGCGACGAACATGCAGAGAAGAATCGTTAATTCGATCCCTCTCAGCCACCGCTCCCTAGTACTGTACGCCTTCCATTTTGAAACCTTTCGATTGGTAGCTGTCCCAAAATCACCAAACACAGCGAAATTAGGGACAATGATGACTTAATTGACCCCTGATTTGTTGTAGTGTGTTTTTTTACTCGCAGACCATCTGGTGATCAGTTCTAATGACGCACTAGCCGTCGTGACCGAGGGGCAAACACGAGGGGTACCTCACTTCAAAAACAGGTGTACACTGACTGGTGACTATACTCAATTTCCACTTTGACTAGACTGAAAATATCACGAAATGCGTTGCAAAAATACTAAAATTGGGACAAATTTACACTCCAAAAAATTTCAATACAAAATTCTGTAACATGGTTACGCAGTAATTTCCACTACAAATGTTACAGAATTTTGTATCAGCACTGATACAAAAATTTTGTATCACGCGTTACGGTAAACTGTTTCCCGGTTACAGAAATCTGCAATGCAAAAATCATAAAAATTTGTCGTTTTTATAAACAAAATCTGAACCTCAACGATCGTTCGTTCCTACACATTCGCTCCGTCGCCCCTGTACTCCCGAATACCCGGAGAAACCGAACTGCGTTCTTCGGAACCGAACCCCGGTCCCCTGGATTGCCAGCTCGGCATGCTACCGCTTGCGCCACAGCGCCGTATGGGGAGGCACGCCTCAGACTGTCGATGACACCGAGCGGGCACGCTGCATGCCCAGGTAGTGGCGGGAAACGAGCCCTGCGGCGCGACAGTTAGAGTTCCTGGCCCGAAGCTTCTAAAGTACCATGCCCCACGTTAGGACTTTTCACCCGATCAACTGTGATGTTAAAATTAAGCTCGTAATTTTACTTTAAATTTGCGTTATTAATTTTTGCATCAGACGATATGTAAACTTGTAACGATATGTTACGGTTTTCTGTATCAGTTACAGTTATTTGCATAAAGATCGCATTTTTACATGGAACTATATCACTGATTGTGAATATTGAAACGAAAAGTACAGAATTTTGTATCAGTTTTAGAATTTTGATGCACTGATTCGTAAATTCGTAACATTCTTGACGTGATGCAAAATTTAGGATCAAGGATACAAATTTTTGTATCCGACTGACGTGTTATAGAATTTTGTATCAAGATCGTTACAAAATCCTATATTATTTTTTAGTGTACGTGGTTTTGCCGACTTTTTCAGTGACTAGACTGAAACAAGGCAGTGACTGGAGTCAGGGGTGTACACTGACTAGACGAAGTGAGGTACCCCTCGGGCAAACAACTTGAATTTTGGTGTACATTTTCCTTGAAATAACGTGAAATAACGGTGAAATAACGTGAAATAACAGTGAAATAACGTTGAATTAACGGTGAAATAACGTTGAAATAACGGTGAAGTAACGTGAAAAGACGCGAAATAACGTGAAATGACGCGAAATAACGTTGAAATACCCTTGAAATAACGGCGAAATAACAATGAAATAACGTGAAATAACGTGAATTTGAAATAACCGAGGGGGTAACGACTGGTAAATTTCGTGTCAGCCGGATTACGGATTACCCCGGATTACCCCGGATTACCCCCAAATTACCTCCGGATTACAACAAAAAAATTCCTGGATTACCCCGGATTACCTCAAAATTTTCCCGGATTACCCCGGATTACCTCAAAATTTCGGGTTATCCGGATTACGGATTACCACTTTGCTGTCAGCCGGATTCCCGAAGTCGTTACCCCCTCGGAAATAACGGTGTACAAATTTTGACGAAGTTGTTTGCCCCTCGGTCGTGACTGACCAGCTTGTGTTCAGTGACGCTCACGTCAACGCAAAACGAAAAGGTCTCTTTGACTTTAATTCACTTTGCAAACACAGATTTCAAAATGGAGGGCATACAGTACCAGGGAGCGGGGGCTGAGACGGATCGATTTTACGACTCTTCACTGCCTATTCGTCGCATCCGTGCAACAAGCTCACATCTTTACTTGGTATCGTCAGCAACAACCTATCTCTAGGAGCTACCGTCAACAACAAACTATCTCCTACCCTAAGCGCATTCAGATAAGTTGTTGTTGATGGTAGGGCATAGAGATACTCTGCAAACTCAACAGTTTACTCAGTACAATCTGTTCAAAGTATATTCACGAGGACACTCCCACGAACGTGTACTCAGCTGCATGTGAACTAAGGTGTGTAGTGATCTGAGCACACTCTCGTTGGAGTGTACTCAGCTGAGCACGCTCTTACTGGAGTGTACTTGTGAGTACACGCCAAATAGAGTGTACTGAGCAGACTGTTGAGTTTGCAGAGAAGACTGATGTTGATGGCAGCATGTTTAGATAGATTCTTGTTGACGATACCAAGTGTAGATAGGTGCTTGTTGCACGGTTGTGACGAGTTATTCTACGAACCTCACATTCGTTCGAGGGGGCAACCACGTACGATATTTGGGGGCACAAGATTTCTTGGGTCAGGAAATTTCGTCGGATTTCGTCCATTTTTAAGCCTAAAATCTGCCTGTTTTTCGGTTTTTATGGGGAAAGATTTCGGATTTTCCAGAGATTTCTGGGGCTCCAGGGGACCCAGGATTTCTCGAGTGGTTGCCCCCTCGCATTAGTTAGAGCGTGGATTTTGTCGCGCTCGTTTAGATACAATGTCACCACATTCATTTTAAATGTTGATCCACGTTCAAACAAATGAGACAAATTTATGAAACGGTCGAGTCACGCTCGGTCACGCTCCAACGAAGGTGGAATTGTAGTAAAACGAACGTGACAAAATCCAAAGCTTAGCGCGAACATGACGCCACGTTCGTTGACTTCAGTTTTATCTGGTTGGGCAACACGATTTATAGGCATGGTCGTTGAATTTGGGCGCCGAAGCACCTGCGCGGTGCACCACCCGTACGATCGTGCTCAGCACATTAAAAGAAATGACAAAACCGTGCGCTGCTTTCAAGAGCACGGCCCTATTTAAGCCTCGACATCGCAAGGCACAGCATATTCACCAACATGAAGCTCACCGTCCTCGCCTTGTTCCTGGGCGCTTTTTGGGGTGTTGGCGTAAGTTGAAATCTCGTCTCGCTTCCCGACTGCGCAGAGCATTGTGGTCATTTTCTGCGCAATAGCACTCCTGAGACTGCGAACAAACCCGTCCAAGTGTAAAGAATAACTCTGCACCAGGAACACTGAAAAACGAAACGCGGTCTTGGGTCTAGACCTAAGCAACTGATGCGCCAAAATGGCAGTCATTTGACCACAGTAGTGGTGCGGTCTAAACCACGTTTGGTTTTTCTGTGAAGTGCGGAGTATTCTCTACACTGGGTTTGCCAGTGCAGTGCTAGGACGTGCGTTCGTCTCTTACACGTGATTGTGCGGCCAATGCAGACAATTGACCGCAGTTTTTATGTTGCTTCGCCACGATTCAGCTGTTAAGTAGATCATAAAGGACGCTCCTTATTTGAAGGCTAAACCAGAAGTTTCTTAACTGAGACGAAGTGGGGGGAAACTCTACACTTTCAATGCGGAGGCGTGGATATTGCAGTCTCCACACTTAGACAACGTGCAGACTTTGCAGTCTCCACACTTCAAGTGTGGACTTCTCCACGTTTGCACCATGCCATAGGAGAAAGGCTCCGTGAGCTACAACACTCATGAAGAGTGGAGACAGCAAACGCCACACGTCCAAGTGAGGAAAATTACTCCGCTTCAGGAAGTGTGGATTTCTTCTTTGACAGTGTTCTTTGTTAACTCAAACGAGCACATTGAACGCGACCTATTGAAGCATATTTGTACCTTTGCTTGCTCCTCTGTGGGTGTACGCTTGAAGAGCTTACTGCTCGTCGGAATATAATAAGGCTTTTAAATTCAAGAATTGATCATTATTTGTGTCGCTAATTTGTTCCAGATTTGCCAGCAAGCCGCAGGGGAGCCTCATAAACCCAACCCCAAGCCCAACCACCTGCACAAGCGCTCTCCCCATGGCCCTCATCATCCCCCAGAACCCCACCACAAGCCCCACTCCCTGCACAAGCGCTCTCCCCATGGCCCTCATCATCCCCCCGAACCAAACCACAAGCCCAACCACCTGCACAAGCGCTCCCCCTCTGGCATTGGCAGGCCACCAAAGCCTAAGCCCAAGCCCCAACCGAAGATCTACGCTCCCAAGCCAGTGTTGCACACCGACCTGAGGAAGAAGTACGTAGCAAAACGTCCATTTATTACCAAACGTTTTCCTGCAGCTCTTTTCTTCTCAATCCTTATGAACTGTCAGCGAGTGCGAGAAAGACAGAAGATGTTACGTAACATGTACATTAACCAACGACATTCATTGCACCCCGCACTACTGAATCCCTACGAAAAACGTTTTTGCCATTTGTAAATTGAAATCGTCTTTCCGCTTGCAGTGGGTTGGGGCATCTTCTTGGAGACGGAGGTAGATGAAGTCCCGACTTATGACCGACGTGTTTTCGAAGTCACCGTGTCAGGCATATCTTGAATAAACATCAATAAATTTTGAATTGCTATTTTAATTCTCCTATTTTACCACATTCCTAGCGGCATCAGAAGAGCACTTATGTGAGAACTAAGTTGCACTCCTGGAGACGCACTCTTACAAGCCCTCGCCTGGAGGGTTGTACTTGTCCCGCGACTTGCCCTACCCGAATTGTTTGGCAACAATGGACTCACTTTGCAGCAAGTACACACGTCTAAAAGCATACGCAGCCCGCGGAAAAAAAAGAAGATTTTATGTGGCAACGATCATGTTTGTTTATTTTGGGATGGCACAAAAACGTTTTAGGCGTACTACCAACTTGTCAGAACGAACACTTTGCTCACACTCACACGACATATCGAGCGGCCCTTGTCAAAAAATCTTATCTGAGCGTTCCTCCCAAGAGAATCTTTTTTTAAACGCTGGTGAATTTCGCTTTGAGAAGCTCCAGACAAAAAAAAAAACACTTGGTCGGCGACATCCTAGGAGCGGGCGCTTGTGGTGTTTTATCGGTTCCTTGTATGCATACGAACTGCCGAAAAGACACTTGGACGAAATCCGACACCCCCTGTGGCTTTGGTACGGGTCTAAACACCCCAAAAACAGCTGTTTTCGAGGGTTTGGGACTAGATGGGTTCTCGCAAACCAAGATCCAAAAAAGTACCCAAATGGGTCTCAGATACTCAAAAAAATGCGCTCTTTTGAATGCCGTGTCGAACGAGGCTCTACGACGTCGGGTTTGGATGCTACGGGCTCTCAAAGTTGCTCAATTTCACTATTTTTACTGAAGATTATCATATCAGGGCCGTTTGAAGTAGACCATCGGCGATTTCGCTCCTCTTTGTCTTAAAAGGTGCCTACCCATAGGTAAACACCCCCACAAAATTTCAGCCATGTCAGGCAATTATTAGAAGAACTGTGAACAATTTAAGTTTTGGGTCATTTTTTGGGCAAAGCACAGCGTATTCGTCGTCACGAAGCTCGCCATCCTCGCCTTGTTCCTGGCTGTCGTTTTGCTGGCTGTGAGATGCAAAAATTTGAGTACCATCAAAAATAGGCAAAAGCTACATCTCTACTTCGTATTTCCATGATTATATCGTATTGTACCTTGACGTCAACGTAAGTCCCATGACTAAAATTAAATCATATTATATGTTCCTTGGACTATACTTTGACGTTTCGCGAGTGGTCGCATGGCGCGACGTTTTCTTACAATTGGACGTTAAAGGTTTTCACTACCTGTGGGGTAAATCGGGACAAGAAGTGTGTTGTTTTCTTCAATTTCCTACATAATTTTACTGCGGTGTTCAAAATAGTGGATATATATCTCCACCTTTAAAATGGAAACTGGTTAGCTTTGAGACATATGGACACTAGTCGACGGGAGACATCAGCCAATGACCGCAGGAACGAAAATAAAACGTTTACACCGAACTTAAAAGGTTTGCCTCGGAATGACTTTTGTCTATTCTTTGGCTCAACGCCAGTAACGGACCGTACAGTACAAAACAATTCGTGAAAGATGCACTGAAAAAGAAGCCGCATTTTTGCACGGAAAATGTAAAGTACGGAAAAAGGACGATAGGCTGTAAAAAAAGTCTTTTTAATAGGCTCGTGATTTTACAAAACAGTTCATGTTGCATTTTCTTCAAAACGTTAAAATTGGCGCTTTTTTTATTAGAGTGTACAGAGCGTTGGCGGTGGCCGCAGTGCATTCCTAGCCCGGCCTCGGGATGATTTCGAAGTCCATGTACCCACAGAACTTTACTGGTAATTTTGGTGCATCTCGACATTGGAGGTGTAGACGGTAACGCCCGTAAACCATCATTGGAAAGTATGGGAAGGTCATGTTCACCGGCTCGGTCATGTAGTACTCTCCCTGAAAGAGTGGGAACGAGTTCGTATGGGTGTGCCAATAGTTTGGTACTGGATCCAATAGGATCAGGCAAGATTCGCTTCGGAGTCGGATTGGAAAACCGTGCTTTTTTTTGCAGCGGATTCGAGAAATTTGTGGAAGTTATGACTGCTGCCTCCAACTTCACTCTGCTGAATGTAATTTTGGTCCAAAATGAAAAAAAAAAAGAAAAGAAATAATGGCGCTTAATCAGTTTTGGCGTACCTACCTTCCACTGCCCGCAAAAAATTGTGAAAATACTCATTTTTTCAAACCCTTTCAAGTCAAGTGTCAAGTCAAGTGTCAACGGATAAACGTAATCTTCGTTGAGTTTAAGCGTACCTTTGGAATGAAGCACGGTTCATTCTTGTCCATAGACGCCCCGGTATGTTTTGAAATGATACTGAAGATGCCTGGGGCATGGGCACGAATCACTGAACATCCGACGTTGGGGAACTTAAAATGGAAGGCGTTCTCTTTCCGCTCTCTTGGCCCCGTCACCGAAAAGCTAACAAGCTTTTCGAATCAAAATAGACACACAAAAAAGTCATATATTATATTTTAGAAAGCATTGTAAAAATTACACTCACCCAAAAGTGGTCCGCAACGTCTACTTTCAGTGACAAATTAGTTGTAGCGATCTGCAGGTCGAAAGGTCTTGAGGGATTGAAATGCGTAGTACGAATGTGCATTACTGCTGTGCCGTCTGAGGGACACGACGTTTACCGAGCACAGGAAGATAATGTATCAACCCTAAAAACAAAACCCCACGTTTCATTGTGCTGCCCAGGGTTGGCAACCATTGACAAAAATTATGTTTAAATTTTCTCTTTCACGCCGAGCTTTTATTTTTGCCAACCTAGGATAATAAATTTTACTCCTGTTTGGCTACCAACTGAAAATCTATTGTCGGTTATGAATCTTTAACACATGACACAAGATATATCTTAAGGGGGACATCACTCCAAAATGATAAAAAATCGCAACTTTTTTTTATGAGTTTATACTACAGACCATTCTTTTCTGCGGCGAATGGCGAAAACCGCATTCCGAAATTCAAAAAATTGCAGTTTTGGGAGGTTGTGGGCCGCAAACATGCATAGGGGAAAAGCCCAGTTTCCACAACTTTGATCGCGTTTTTCTCGGGACATAAAATTCCAAACGGTTGCAGGCCTCTAGGGCGCAGTTTTTGAGCTACAGCGGGGAGATTTAGCATGGAAGCTCCTACAACATGCCGCTATGGTGGGTAGCAAAATAATTTGCATTGGTCAATTTTTATTATTTTTTTAACGTTTAAAATTGAACAATTTTGACCAAAAAATTGAACAATATTTTTTGGCATGTAAGAAATACCACTTTAAATGATTTTTTAAATGTGATTGAGGTACCCACCATAGCCAGACATCTCAGGAAGGCTGTCACCAAATTTCGTTGTTCTAGGTCAAACCGTTTGGCGTCCAGCGCTGCAACCGTGCGAAATGGTCTAACCTAACACTCAAAAATGCGTTTTCAACGAAAGCGCTGTACTGCCCTGGCTGATTGACTTAGTGTGGTTTTATACTTTATCTGTCAAAATATGAACAATTTTTCTCTTTCCGTTTGGTTTTTATGACGATTTTACAAAAGCACTGTTTTCGGAGTGATGTCCCCCCTTAACACTGAAAATCTATCGGCGTGACTTCGTGCCGCTGCAGGGGCGTGAATAAAGTGTCACGCCAAAAAGCGGCATGACAGAAAAGTCACGCAATCGGCGTGACTCAAAAATTCACGCCAATATTTGTTGTGAATTTCTTGTCATGCCGGTTTTTGGCATCATTTTTGTCATAAAACGCGTTTTTATTCACGCCAAATGATTGCGTGACTCACAATGTCATGCCGTATATCGGCGTAAATTTCGTATCACGCCAGTTTTTGGCGTGACTTTTTGTCACGCCATAATTTGCCGACCATTACGTTTTCAGTGTTGAGCTTGCAGAGCGATGGAGAAAACACTGCAAGCCGGCGACAAATTACGATGACCTTGACGCCTGTTTCTTTGCTGCTCAAACACCGCAATTTTTAACCTCTCCGTGATGGATAGGCGTTGTTGATTTCGACTTGTTAGAAATGGAGACGGGGTAGGTAGGGCACTTCGAGATGGAGCAGTGTTGGCGATTGGCGTCAGGGGGCTTGCGTGCTAGAGTGGCTGGAGCTGGCTCAATTTGTGCACTGATATGATATGTGGCCTATCACATCCTGTAGCGCTCAAAATGATCTTCACAGGGTGACGTCAGGGCGTGCTAACTTAACAATTATTTGCGATTTTTGACATTTAATTTCGTAAATGGCTGGAAATAAAAGAGTTATGCATAGAATAACTTAAATCCAAAATGAAATTTTAAATTTAAGTTATCCTGTGCATAACTTTTATTGTTTACGAGATAAAGGCACCCACCCCTTGTCATGAATAGGAGAAAAAAGCAGTGAAGGGGTTCACATACGCAATGTAGGCAATATTGACAACAAATTTCGGAAAATCCTGTTGTACTTTAAGTCGGACCACGCGTTTTGAAGAATTTCGTTTATGGTTGCCAATCCTGCTCACAAAATTGTTGATGGAATTTCAGTGCTGTCAGCCCGTGTACGTACAGCAAACGAATTGATGTATTTGCTTTGAATGTGATTGCAGCCCAGCAGCAGCGTGCCCACCCAGACGACGAAGCACCAATTCTGCGACAAAGCATGGAAAATTACTCTCCATCATAACACCTCAGAATGGAATCTATGGCCTCACCTTCACAACACGGCGGGTACAAACCACGGTGAACACTTTCAGGTACGGTAAACGCCGCACTTCCAAAGTACGGCAAATCCCGTATGAAAATGAACGGTGAACGGCGAAAACCGGGTACCCTTTTCTTACAGAGAAAGCTAGAGAAAGCTAGGACCCGTTTTTGCTGTATAGGTTTCAGCGCGGCCTGGAACGTTGCCGAAGGCATGAACTCACCCTGAACATGGTGATGCACTGCGATGAGCACTTGCTGCCCGAGCCCAATAATACCATTCGGGATAGCGAAACAGCGATGGACACTACGAGATGGCATCACCGAAAATGAGATACTCGACACGACACCTTTCGTACGTACCTGAAAAGGATCACTCGTTGATAGGTGATACCAGTAGTGGTTTATGTCCACATTCACCTTAGTTCTTTTGAGAATATGTATACACACACTAAATGTTATGTACAATTTTGTACGAGGCATCGCAGTTTTTTGTGCCCACGAAATTTTCGTACGAAAAACTCTACATTTTTAGCCATTTTTGTACAAAATTGTACAAAATTTTGTACAAATTTGTACGAAAAGTTCGTGCGCACAAAAAACGGTAATGTCTCGGACAAAATTTGTACAAAAACATTTAGTGTGTAGGGTACAGCAAACACTGAAAATTAAATGGAAAGACTTGCTGCCAAAATATGACGGGACGAAAAGTCGTACCAAGTTTTGGTCGGACCAGAAAGTCACGCAAAATTTCGGTCAGACAAAAATGTAAGACTTTATTTTTGTCTGCCCATGGTACATCACTAAAAAATCTAAACGCTATGAATATAGAGCCACCTGGTGCAATGCTTTAGCATTTCACATGAAGTGCCGTGCATTGGCAACGGGGCATTTTCGGGGCGCATTGCACGTAAGGTGCAACACGGCTATGGCATTGCACGCATGGTGCGATATCTCAGTGCATGGCACCATACGTGTTTAGAATCTCAGTGCTGCATGGACCTTATTAACTGTGCGCTCTGTCTCTCTCGCGCTCACGGCACGCGCCCTGTGAGTGCGAGAGAGACAGAGCGACGTATCTACTCCCCGGGCAGTCGCTCGGCAGCACACGAGCCGAGGCGGCTCCTTCAGGGCGCGAAGTGCGGAGGGCCTGGCCCTCGGCCTGCCGCAGCGGGCGGGGCAGCGATGATGACGCCCTTCGAGCCCTTCGGACGTCACTGGGGCGTTGCGCAACGCCCTGCCATATCCCCAGTCCTCTGAGAAAGAGAGAGAGAGAGAAAGACAGACAGACAGGACAGACAGACAGACAGACAGACAGACAGACAGACTGAGAGAGAGACAGAGAGAGAGAGACAGACAGAGAGAGAGAGGGAGAGAGAGAGAGAGAGAGAGAGAGAGAGGAGAGAGAGACAGACGGACAGACAGACAGAGAGAGACAGAGAGAGAGAGACAGAGAGAGAGAGACAGAGATAGACAAAGAGAGAGAGTGAGAGTTTTTTTTTAAGTTTTGAAAAGTGCTTATTGGGAGGATTCTGATTGCACATTTGGGCCAACGGGTGCACAGTGGGACAAAAGAACGAAAAATGAAAAATAAAACGTTAACGCTAACAGCAGATGATGGGAATGGGAATGTTGATTTACGTATCGCAATTCACGATTAACACGTGCATGGTTTAATTGACGAAAACGTTAATTTTGATTTAACTATTAAAGGTTTTATTCGAACAAGTTTCTCATATGCTAGACCCGACCAGCCACTCTATCAAGTTGATTCCCGCATTGTGCTGAAAGGTGGAAACGCGAAATGCAGCAACAGAAGCCACGCTACGACAGCCAACTTCACTGCAAAGCTAGTGGTAAGTTTGCTTGCCACAAATTTGGCAAGCCGTTTTGAATGCCAAAATTTGGCAAGCTTTGGTCAGCAATCTTCATAAGCTTGCCAAATTTTGGCAAGCTGCGGAGTATTTCCAGGCCAAGCAAACCTAACCTAAGCTTGCCAAATTTTGGCAAGCTTGGGAGTATTTTCGGGCGAAGCTTGCCAATTTTTGGCATTCAAAACGGCTTGCCAAATTTCTGGCTACCACCGGCTATTGTGTAAAATCAATCGTTCAACCGCTAGAGGCTAAAACCGCAAAATCGGCGTTAATATTTTGAATTTTGAAAATGTGAACACCCAAAATGTTATGTACAATTTTGTGCGAGACATCACAGCTTTTTGTGCGAACGAAATTTTCGTACAATTTTCGTACGAAAAACTGCACATTTTTCGCCATTTTTGTACAAAATTGTACAAAATTTTACACAATTCTGTACGAAATGTTCGTGAGCACAAAAAACTGTGACGTCTCGTAAAAAAATTGTACAAAAACATTAAGGGGGAACATCACTCCAAAATGATCAAAAATTGCAACTTTTTTTTATTAGTTTATATTATAGACCATTCCTTTCTGCGTCGAATGGTGAAAACCGCATTCCGGAATTCAAAAAATTGCAGTTTTAGTAGGTTGTGCGCCGCAAACATGCATAGGGGAAAAGCCCAGTTTCCCCAACTTTGATCGCGTTTTTCTCGGAACATGAAATTGCAAACGGTTGCAGGCCTATAGGGCGCAGTTTTTGAGCTATAGCGGGGAGATTTAGCATGGAGGCTCCTACGACATGCATGGTGGGTAGCAAAATATTTTGCATTGGTCAATTTTTATTATTTTTTTAACGTTTAAAATTAAACAATTTTGACCAAAAAAATTGAACAATATTTTTTGGTATGTAACAAACAGAACTTAGAATGATTTTTAAATGTGATTGAGGTACCCACCATAGCCAGACATCTCAGGAAGGCTGTCACCAAATTTCAATGTTCTAGGTCAAACCGTTTGGCGTCCAGCGCTGCAACAGTGCGAAATGGTCTAACCTAACACTAAAAAATGTGTTTTCAACGAAAGCGCTGTACTGCCCTGGCGGATTGACTTAGTGTTGTTTTATACTTTATCTGTTAAAATATGAGCTATTTTTCTCTTTCCGTTTGGTTTTTATGACGTTTTTACAAAAGCACTGTTTTTGGAGTGATGTCCCCCCTTAAGTGTGCTGACGTCTATTTGCCACTACTGCGCGGATTTGGTAGTCCTGCGGATCCTGGGATCTAGAGTCAAAGCTAGCTGATTTAACAATCATCTGCTAAAAATCAGACGTCTTTCTAAAGTACACTCGGTGGTGGTCGGTGGGGTTATATCGATAGTTGTTGTTGAGCTCGAGCAGGCGGGACGCCATGACTGTGGCCGTTGCCGGCTGTTGAGTTTGCTGTTGTTGATTTATCCTCTAGAAGACCACCAGCTGGTTGCGATTATTATCACATCTTGGTGTTTTTTCCTTTAACTTGCCGTGGGAAAGTATTTATTGGCGTTTCAACGCCTTAGTGGGGAATCGCTGTACTGTATCGCATGCTAGAGCCGGCCGCCCCCGATCGTGCGCGTGCAAAATCCCCCCCCCCCTTCCATCTCCGCCAGCCTTCCGTGCAGAGACGGTTCACTGAACGGTTAGTCACAACACAGACCCCCCACCCATCTCCCCCTCCTCCAGCCGGACCCACGCCAAGCCGGCCGGGCGGCTATTATGTAACGGGGAATTCTCGACTCGCTTGCAGAATCCACTCGGCTCGGCTCGGCGCCCCGCGCAGCCGTCACCGCTGAGGTCACTAGATGCACCGCAAACGCACGCCTCCACTGCAAGAGGCAATGCGAGGCGATGCGTTGGATGAGACAGGCCCGGGCCAGAAGACCGGTGGAGGCGGCCGAAATTCTAGACGCGTTTTGAGCTCCAGAGTCGCGAAACAGGACTCGAGCCGAACGTGTGACACCGCCAGTGGATTGCTCTCCTAACGAGGTACACGGTAAAAACGGTACCTGGTTTTCTCAGGGAGACTATGTTAAAGACATAGTAGATTTCCAGGGGGTTCCTGGGAAAACGGCCGTTTTTACCGTGTGCCTATGGGGTCACACGTTCGGTTCGAGTCCCACTTAGTGACTCCGGAGCTCAAAATGCGTCTAGAATTTTGACCAATTCCACCAGTATTCTGGCCCACTGTGCGCCGGGAGCGAGGCAGACGATAACTGAACAGTCCGCTTTTCAATAGCAAATAGCAATAGACCGTGGGTAACTGTCGGCCTGAGCGCACGTACTCTAGAAACTGAAGAGAGTGCATGGCATGCTCCTCCTAGGAGTCAACCACAAAGCACACTCTTACCAAGAGCATGCTTGCAAGCACACTCTTCCCAAGAGCATGCTTGGCAAGCACACTCTTCCCAGGAGCATGCTTGACAAGCACGCTCTTCCTGGGAGCATGCTTGCAAGCAAGGAGAGTGCTTGAAAGCATGCTCCTGGGAAGAGTGTGCTTGCAAGCATGCTCTTGGGAAGAGTGTGCTTGCAAGCATGCTCTTGGGAAGAGTGTGCTTTGTGGTTGACTCCTAGGAGGAGCATGCCATGCACTCCACTCTACAAAAAATGTCCTGTCAACGCCGTTAATTTATTACCAATGTTTGCAGTTATTCAATTCACGGTGTTTGCTGTGAACTAGTTCACGGCGTTCACTGTTATCTCGGTTACAGTGTTCACTGTGATCTGGCCACAGTAAACCCCGTGAATTGGAGCCTGATTTGCAGTACTTCGGTGCTCAGCGGCGTCAAACTCACAGTGTTTACTGGGGACCAGATCACAGTGAACACCGCGAACAAGATCACAGTGAATCCCGTGAGCAGATCACAGTAAACGCTGTAAATTGGCCTACAGTGAAAACTGGTAATAAATTAACGGCATTTACAGGACATTTTTGGTAGAGTGTCTCTTCAGTTTCTAGAGTATGCGGGCCGGTTACCTGGACGCCTGAAGGGGTACTACTGCTGGCTTGAAACCTTGCGGATTAATTTGAGCACATGTGAGGTGCAAAAAATTTAAAGAAATGGTTTGTAAATTATGAAGTACACACTAAATTCTTATGGACTTTTTTATGCATAGTTATGCATGCGCAGAAACGTCCATATGTTATGTATAGTGTACATTTTATGCAGGAAGACGCATAAAATGTACACAGTGAAGCATAATTTTTTTACATACCTTATGGACGTTTCTGCGCATGCATAACTATGCATAAAAAATGCGTCCTTATGCATTTAAAAAGTCCATAAGAATTTAGTGTGTATTTTCTTTGAAAGCTTATGTATGCTTGAAATACTTTGTTATGACCAGCTACTTTTGGTGGTAATGTCCAAAATACAGTAGTGTGTGTAAGATTTCGAGACTTGTAGCGAAATGACGGTGACAACGGTGTTGATCATAACTCAGCATTGCCAAAACGCGAGTGCCAGCCCGGCGGCCGTTCTACCTGGAACCCGCAAACAGGACCAACAAACTGGAAAC